AAAACATGTGACTAGTATTTACATAGTCTCAAAAGCAATAAATATGGATTTAAGGAAAAATTTTTTTATCATAGTCACATTGGGAAGGTAGAGGGCAAGGAGAAGGTGAGATTGAAAAAATTCGTCTTTATCCAGTTATGAATTAAGTAAAAAAAGGTATGGGTTTTTGTGTGTGTGTGTGTACTAAATATTACTTTTATTGAATGTCACCCTAATTAAAGATGAAATAAACCTTTTCAAAAACAAAAGCCAACCCTCATAGATAATAAAAAGTGTATTTACCATAAATGAACTAATTTTATCCACATTAAAGAAAAAAGTGAAAAATTTGAACCAATTTTAGGGATCTAGGATATTGGTAAAGTAGTAAGAATTACCGTGTATCTGATTATTCTTATTACATGATTTTCATTAGATGTTTTAAACTAAAATCATTTAGTATTGAAGTTAACAACTATGTGAAATGGTTCAAAAACAAAATAACTATTTCAGTATAACTATTCCTATATTTACGTGTAAAAACACTATCCATTAGAACACCTAGCATTGTCTCTTCAAATGGACATAAAGTAATAATCTTTAGGGTCTTTTTCTCACAGCATTTACACAGAAGTTTTTAATAGTCTTCATAATGTTTCACTGTAAGAAGTCACTATCAACCAAAGGTTATAAGCCTTTTACAGTTACTTTATATATATATATATAAATCTTAGATTTGTTTATTTATTTATACATACAGAGCTGGGATATAAACCAGAGGTATAGGGGTGGTGAGAGGATTCACCAGAGAGCAGGGAGCAGAACAGGCTGGCTGATGAAGTACACTGCTGAGGGGAACAGTGGCGGGTCAGGAGAGGTCTGCCATGTCATATGGATGACCTCTAGGGCCTGGGAGCGAACTTGCACTGGAAGTGTCCATGGCCAGCTTGCAGTGCTTCATCCTAACCCACTGACCCACCAGGGAGGGCCCTACTTTATATTTTGATGGACAACTGCAGCTTGTCTAGATTAGGATAAGGAAATAAGATGAAAAAAGAAATAAAAAGAAATAAGATGACAGAACACCTATACTTAAGAACAAAATTCTCTTGAAAATTTTATTAACATGTAATAAAAATAGATCATTCAACTCTTTCAGTCTTTATGAAATTTTTGTTTTAAAGAGGAAACTTTTTTCCACAAATCCTCATGTAAACCAATCAGACACAAATAAGCTTTATAATGAACCTCTCAAACACATTTTTTTACTCTCTACCTTTTTTAGGGGATGGTATCAGCATTACTGTCACAGAATTTTCTTTCTAGTCAAGCTTCAAGATTAAAGGTTATGCACAAATCTTAATTTCTTTTTATTACTCTGCTGAGGCAAGCTAGAAACATGATACTTCAACATTATTCTTCAATTCCTATGAACTATTTTACAGCAAAAGCTATTTAGTACTAAATATTCTTACGCTTAAAATTCTAAGAGTATTCTTTAGTCACCATTGACCTTGGTATTCCAAGATTTAAAAAAAAAAACTAATTATGTTTAATGCTATTTACATAAATAAATACAACTTTAATCACTAAGCTCTTCCTCATCACTGAAATATGTACTTTTCTTTATCCTCGGGCGTCTTGAATCATCTGATGTTGAGGGACCTCCTGAACTGGGTTTCCACTTATTTTGTTCTTCTTCAATTTTGGCTTGCTGTAATGTGATTCCAAAAACAAACAAAACCAAACCAGGAACTTTAGTTTAGTTATTGTTTATGGCACAATAATTCAAAACATGGCAAAAACATGCCCAAGTGCCAACACCACCCACGTCTCAGGAGACAGAGGCAATTCTCCTCCATTAGGATAGCTGTGTCCCCTCACGTTCCCTTATGGCCTCACCAGGTTACTCAGTTACTCCAGACAACTTCTACTCATTAACAGGCACAAGGAATGAAATCTACCTACTATTCATGCTCAAGATAGGAATGCTACATAAAATGACATTCATTAACTAAAAGAAAAAAAATGGATGTACACATTTATAGTTTATCAACTACATTAAAACAAAATAACTTCACATAAAATTAAGATACTATTAAGCCCTTCTTCAAAAAATATTTCATGTGCTTGTATTAAAGCCTTTACAGGTCAAAAGTATATGTTTTTGGTTTTGTTTTAAAGTGAAGCATCTTTAAAAACAATGTCTCTGACTTAAAGCATTTCTTTTGAGGTAAATTCATTTTAATTAAATAGTTCTACTCAAGTCAAGAATGAAATGTATTAAGATTTTAAAAGTGCTGTGGGGTCTTTAAAATCTAGGAAGACCCAGGAAAATTTTTCCATCACACTGCTGCAGTGCTCTAAAAACCTTAAAGAAACGGCTTAGAACAACAAGAAGGGGAAAGATGGCAGTTGTTCTAAGATGATCAACAAAGTAAACAGGGACTGAGACCATCAACCCAAGCAGCCAGAGCATGCTGCTTTGCAAAAGAACTGCTCAGTACCTGGAAAGCTATGGCCTGACTGAGGCTGTCAAGGGCAGGATCTTCTCCTTCATCTTCACTTTCTTCTATTCCTTCACTAAGTTAAAAGAAAAAATCCAAATGTGCTAAAACAATAGTAAAAAGATATAGGCAACAATGTATTAATAAGTGTGGATATACATACATTTCTTCTTCTGGTTCAGGAGTTTTCTTTTTCTTCTTTTTCTCTTTCTTTTTTGGAGGTTCACGTTCTCCAAGCATATTTTTAGGACAGGCATAACTTAGGTGTCCACTTTCCTTTAGATTTTCATTAAAAAGGAAAAGAAAAATACTGTATTTGTTCTTAACTGAAATATGCCTGTTACTCTAGAACTAAAAGCTTGTAGGATTTAAAAGAAAATATTGCCATAATGTAAGTACATACAAAGAAATAAAAAAACCCATTATTTTAATTTTAAAGGAAGAGTTTATAATTCCTAATAAACTATTTTAACAATAAAGGAAGTATTTTAGTATTTCACTAAGAATAAAAGAAATATCCTTTAAAACTTTTTAATTCAAGATTTAGGATATAAAAATTTCCAAAATTTAAATGGACATTTACCTTAAATGTAAAATGTTTAAGCTATTATTTAACAAAAAGGGATAAACTACTCATGTTAACCTCTAAGATACTGCTTGAGATTCTAGTTTAAAAACAAATAAAGTCTTCTTCACATTTCCCCTGTTCCTTTTATATCCAGACTGCACTACACTGTCCATTTTGTCAGCCACCAGCTGTCACCATCTTGTGAAAACTGAGATGAATTGATATGGACAAAATACAAAAAGAATTTTGAAGATAAAATATGAAAAAATAGAGAAAAATTTCTTGATAGAAAATATTAATGATGTATTCAAATAACTGTTTTAGTTTTACACTGAGTTAATATATTAAGTTTTACCTGTTTCTGTTTTTAATATGGCCACTAGAAATTTAAAATTATACTATGGCTTGTGTTATATTCATATTCGACAGTGTTTGCTATCTGTTGGACCTTAAGTGAGGTCTGCTCCCTTTCAGGGGATGGAACTCAGACCTTAAAAAGTGGTTGACAGTGCTTAGATTTAACCCTTAGGCCATTAGGGAGGCCCCTGATCCAGTGGTTTTAATGGGAACGGGAGAAGGAATCACAGAAAGACATGGTCCTGCCTACAGAATCACAAGGATGATACAAGGAAAATGGCCACTACCACTTCCTGCTATAAACTCCACCTTCCCCAAAAGATACATAGATAACATAGACAGATACAGATAGCATACACAGAAAGAGGGAACAAGACTTTGGGAACACAGAGCTCTGTCAAATCCTAAGGTTCTAACACCTGTTAAAATTAAAAAAGGAAGGAAGAGTACTTATGGTCAGCTAGAGTAGTATGGATCTTCATTGTTAAAGAGTCAATATTAAATTATCTGAGAAATCCTCACTGACAATCTTTTTGATAATAACTTGTAACTGAACTATCCCCAAATTTGCAGATATGTTATACTTTTTATATTCTTACATTTGTTCACTCCTCCCAACCGTCTACATTTAGTAACCTGCACTTTGCAATTATTTCAGTATTGCCCTTTTTAAAATATGGGATATGCTAACATTTTGGAATATACCTTTATTCCAAAACTGGCTTAGAAATACTTTTCCTAAGAACATTCTCTTAGCAGTTCACTAATAGGATCTGTTATGTTCAGCCATGTATCTGGGTATAGAGAGTACAAAGTGTTTATTTATTATGTGAAATATGTGTAAAAAAGTTATTTTTCTCTATTATTATAATCTTGGTTCAGTCTTTCCCCACACCCTCACTTTCACATATTCTTAAATGTTGCTAGTGAGTCTATAGTTCATGTCTTATGATTTACAATTGAAGCAGTGTTATGACTCATTACAGTGCTATGACATTTTAAATTACACATATGGCTTGTGTTATATTCATATTTGACAGTGCTGCACCTCTGGCCTACACCCCAGTTCTCTGTAAATAGATAAATATTTATTTTTTAAAAAGATTTATTTATGTACACAGAACAAGGTATAGCCAGAGGTGCAGGGGTGGTGAAAGGATTCACCAGAGACAGAGTAGGGAGCAGAACAGGAAGCTCGATAAAATACTCTGCTGAGGGGAGCAGCGGGCGAGACAGGAGAGGTCTGCTGAGTCCTGTGAATCACCTCTGGGGCCGCAGATTGAACTTGCATTGAAGAGGCTGTGGCCATCTTGCAGTACTGTGCCCTAACCCACTGTACTACCAGGGAGGGCCAATAAATAAATCTTTAAAAGCAAACAAACAACAAACAAACCACTGGATGCTGTTTTTAAAACATTCTATACAGGCATTATGGAAACCAACAGCAATAAGACCCTGACTGAAATTTTCTTGGTTCCACTATGGATCTTGTAGCAAATTGTTCTATGGCTATATATTTCTATTAACCACCAAAAGTTTATTTATTTTTTAAGATTTATTTATTTATTCATTCATATAAGAACTGCAGTGTAGGGCAGATGGGGAGGGGCGAGTGGATTCATCAGAGACAGAGTAGGGAGTAGAACAGGCAGTAGAATATACTGCCGAGGGAAGCAGTGGGTGAGACAGGAGAGGTTCTGCTGCACCATGTGGGTCATCTCCATGGCCAGGGGATTTAACTGGAGCTGCAATACCTGCAGTTTCGTAGTGTTTCGCTTTAACCCCTCGCACCACCAGAGACTCTAACCACCGAAAGTTTAAATGGATAACAAGATGATAACTAGAATAAAAAATGTGGGGATAGTTCAGTTATAGAACATACCAGTATCAGTAGGAAGAAGCCCCCAACTTTGATAACACAATATGCCACAGAGGATAATTTACATGACAGTGCTTTTACTAAACTCTGATGCTTAAGCACTGGCAATATATTATAGAAATAGGCAACATCTTAAAAATATAAGGAATTATGGGTCACTAATATCTTATAGACAGTAAACAATTAGTATGACACTTTTTGTTTTTAATTTTTTTTTAAGTGTGAGAGAATTTTATTGTGAGAGAATGGGATTAGTGTACAGGGCTTCTCTGGTGGAGCAAGGGGTTATGTCTAAGTATTATGAAGCTATCTGCAGCCACTGCAGCACAAGTTCGATCCTCGGCCAGGGAGCTAACCCACATGGAGCAGCAGACCTCATCTGCCTTATCCCCTGTTCCAATCAGCAGTGGGCTAGAGTCAATCAACCTATTCTGCTCCCCACTGTCTCTGGTGAGTCCTCTCCCCCTCTCCCATCTTTGGCCTGCACCCCACTCTGTATGTGTAAATAAAATAAATCTTTCAAAACAATAGGATTAGTGTACACAGAAAAGAAAGATTAATAGTTTCTCAATGAAATACCCTTGTGGGCAAATGTCAGCCAAACAGGGTTGGCCCATAACAGGGCTGATGTCTGAAAACGTGCCACCAGTTTAAGGCCTTTCTGGCAGGGAACCATAGGAAAGGGCAGAAGGAGCAGTCAAGTTCGGAGTAAAATCAGAGTATAAATCACACTAATAGCCATGGTCACACTCCCCATGGGCCTCTCACCCACGTCTCTTACAAGTGTTTCCACATGTCTTAACTCCCTGCATCTCCTTCCGCATCCCTCAAGTCCTGGATGCAAGTCGAGCTGAGAAACAGTGCGTTCCCCTTCACTCATCTGCTCCAAGTGTCTCAGTGTAACACTGCTGGATCATATTCTATACTATATTGCTCAGGTTTTCTTTACAAACCACGTTTTAACTGAGTTACTTAGATGAGTACTAAATAAAACCACCTTAGTACAGTTTTAGCCAGCCACAAGTTTTAGAGAGTACAAATAAAAGACCTAAATGAAAAAATACCTTAAGCTAGGAAAATTACATCAAATTTTACTTACCCCACATTCATAACACTTAGATTTATCAAAGTAGTTTCGCCTTCGGATGAACTCAGCTGCTCTTCCGTTGTCAATAGCAATGCTGGCTTTTATCACTCTACCGAATAACTGATCCAGAGAAAAATGTAAACACAGAAGAATGTTTCCGTTCAAACCTGAATCAATAGTTGTTTGGCTCCACATTCTTAAATTTCAAGTTTAGCAATTATTTAAGCAATTCCCTATTGTGCTAGCAATTTTAATATTACTTTAACAATTGTAACAAATCTAACCTGTGGAATAAACTCTTACTCCTTAGATTTTTACTAAGGTTTTCAGAACCTAGTGTAGTATGACTTCTTTCCTTTCCTTAAAAACTCTCAGAATCCACTGAAATCTGTGAGTTGCGGCCATCCCCTCTACTCCTACATTTCTGGCCTGAGTGATGAGCACAAAAGCTTTTGGGTTTGGGAATGAGTAACTTACCTGCTTGTTGTTTATGGCCCTTGTGCAGTTTTGTGCAGAGTCTTTGTCCAAAAACAAAATGAATGCAACTCCTTTACTCTTTCTGGTATCTTTATCTTTCATTATAGTAACCCTTAAAATATAAATAAATAGTTAAAAATATTGAGGGAGCAATAAATAAAACAGACACTGATACTCAGAAAATTTATGTTCAAAACAGGGTCACTAAAATATTTAGAGTAAGAAAAATCAGTACACTTGCCAAACATTCATCTCTTCAAAGTCCTGTGATATCAAAAAAATGAAAATGAAAAAGTGTGATACAGCCAGGATTAGCAGTATCTGATGAATCAAACACTAATCAGAAATATGAAGGATAGAGAGGTTTCAGAAGCAATGGAATTTTGAAGAGTAAGCTCCTTTTTCTCTACTACTTTACCCTGTAATAAAACGAAACTGAGGTATTCTTTTCTATGTAAAAAGACAGGTAACTGACTTATTTTTCTAGCTTTTAGAATCTAACTACATACCTAATCATCTTTTAAAGTATCACATCTTTAGTTCTGTATTCTTATTCATACCACTCAAGGTATGACTTGGTGATAAGGATGTAATTGGGGTAGTGAAAGAACACAGAGCCTGCCCTTTCTCCTGACCCTTTATGTAAGTATTGTGATTAGAGGTATATGTCATTTTTATTTGGAATATTAGACTGATAAATGTATGATATTCTTATGATACTATGTCTAAAATCGAAAGGTTATTTTTCCAAGCAAAGACACATATACAATGATTTGTAAAACTTTTATGAATCTTCATACAATTTCTGCTGACAGTCTTTGCCTCAATGGGTGATATATATTAAAATATCTGTTACTAAAAAATTTTCAATCTTTTTATTGTAAAAAATTATCCATAAAGATATGTGCACCTTTCCTTGTACGCGTTGTGTCTGTTTGTCCGTGTAATATTTGAGGAATTTTTATGTCTATATAATTATAAGCAGCATATGCATCTAGAGAATAGTGCATCTATAATGCATCTAGAGAATCTAGCCCTCAAGGTCCTTGCTTGTCATATACCATAAAATATAGTTAAAAAACAATGTCCAACTGGGCTCTTTGGAGAAATGGCTGATTCCATGGATGAGATTATAGTGGTTTACAAGAGAAATCTGGGATACTTGTTATTCCAGAAAGGAAGCACAGTCCTCACTTAACATCATCACTAGGTTCTGAAAACTGTCATTTAGAGCAAAATGACATATAAAGAAACTACTTTCACTACAGAGTAACTGATAAAGACCTAAATCATTCTTCTAATATTACAGTATAATTTTTATTCATTAATTCACTAATTTTCCAACCTCCTTATTTCAGTTTAGGGTATCCAGTGACAGGCGCCTGCCCTAGCAGCTTGGGGTGCTAGAGCTGAAAATCAGCATTTACAGGAAAACGGTAAAAACAGATTAGGCAAGAATTAGCAACAAATGCTAAATCTAAAAAAAAAGTTTTTATGTGGAACAAGGTATTTGCATTGATTTAAGAGCATCTCCCACAGAAAAAGGAACTCTCCTGCACTGCTGGTGGGAATGCAAACTAGTATAACCACTATGGAAAACTGTTTACAACAGGAGGTTCCTCAAACTGCTAAACATGGAGCTTCCCTACGACCCAGCAATCCCACTCCTAGGTATCTACCCAAAAGACACAAAAACAGTGATTGAAAAAGATACTTGTACCCCCATGTTTATTGCTGCTTTATTTACAATTGGAAAAACATGGAAGCAGCCCAAATGCCCAAAAGTAGATGACTGGATAAAAAAGATGTGGTACATATATACAATGGAATATTACTCAGCAATCAAAAAAAGAGAAACACATGTCTTTTGCAGCAACTTGGATGGAGCTGGAAAAGATCATGCTTAGTGAGATAAGCCAGAAAGAGAAAGAAAAATACCAGATGGTTTCACTCATAGCAGGAGTATAATGGACCAGGCGAGAAAATAACAAAAATAATGAACAACCATATACCAGAGACATTTTACGGGGGTGGAGTGGGGAATGGGATAAAAAACGGGGGTGGGGAGGGAAATGCACGGGATTATGGTGATGGCACAAGGGTGACTTGGTGATGGGAAACCCGTGGGGATTACAATTGAGAAGAAAAAAAAAAATGTACAAAATGATGTAAAAATAAACTTTTGTAAAATTAAAAAAAAAAAAAAAAGAGTATCTCCCACAGACTGTTTATTTGTTAGGAAGGATAAATAATGGAGTATGTTTCACTCTGGGGTGGAAAGATATCGATGTTATCTGGTTCTGTGTTTTGAGTTCATTTATTACATTATCTTTTAGGAACTGCATTCATTTTAACAGGCGACTTAAGGCCTATAATGCTGAGCTGTAAAGTTGCCACCTTTCTATGTTCATGCTCCTGATTATATTGCTATGAGAGAAACATACCACTGTGGTTACTTTCAATTTTTGAAATAAAAAAAACAAAACAAAACAACACAACCATTTGTTAAAAAAAAAAAGAAAAAAATGAATTTAGATTAAGCATTTATATGAAATTTCAAAAATTTGATGTGAATACTTACTTTACAACCTTGCCATACTTGGAAAATATCTGAAACAAAAACCATGTAATTTATAGTTTAAAATCATTAAACATTAAATATTCATTATTATAGTTTGTAACAAGTTTTAACTTTGGTCTATTAGGTAGCCCCTAGGAGATATACTTTTTTAGTGATTAGAATAATATTCTTATTTTTATTCCAGAGTTCTAGTATCTGCTTCAGTTCCCATGTCTGCTACAAGAGAGAACAGGGAGAGGAACAAGCCATTCCTTATGTGAGGTAGGCTGAAGGTACACCCAGTGGACAGCTGCTGTGTTCCTGCGAGTATTCTTGGTAACTAGCAACCCCATCACAGCTCCAAAGAAAAGTGCACTTCAGATATCAATGTAAAGTATCACTATTCCTGGGCCCTCCCAGTGGCACAATGGGTTAAAGCCCTATGAAGCTGTCTGTAGCCACTGCAGCACAGTTCCATGCCCAGCCAGGGAGCCGACCCACATGGTGCAGCAGACCTCATCTGTCCTAGCAGACCTCACCTGAACTGATGCTGCTCTTCTCAGCAGTGTATTTCAGTAGATCCACCTGTTCTGCTCCCCACTGTCTCTGAGAATCCTCTAGCCTGTACCCTAGTTCTTGTATGCATAAATAAATAAATCTTTAAAAAAAAAAATCATGATTCCTAGTCTATCTTTACCAATTAAGAAGAACTGCTTCGGAAGATAGATTCTAAGACTGCTTATAACACAAAACTGCTTCTTTTATAAAAAGTCCACTCCCATCAGTTTTTCTTCTGTCTAGCCTAATACCTCAGTGGTACTTTATAGTAGTCCTTTTTCCCTTTCACCTCTACATATTCACCCTTAAGCAAATCTCATTTATTTCTGTTTCAGCAACTATCTATTGTATATACTAATAGTTTCTATTACATAATGATTCTTAGAAGTCTTTAGAATACACAAATATATAAAATCAGTAATAATTTTTTGAGTTCTATGATTAAGTTGTGCTGGATCACAACACTGAATTCTGAAGAGTAATTTTCTGTAATGTAATACTTTCTAATGCCTTCTCATTTCACTCAAGAGTCCCTTCCACTGTTATATGGGCCCTCAAAAGCATTCCTACAAGAACTTGCCTGACTAATTTTCCTTTTCCTTCCACTTGTTTTATTCTGTACATAAAATGTTTGGACAGCTGTACCTGCCTCTTACCTCAGGTCATTTTCAAAATCTACTTTCTCAATAAGAGCTTTAGCCTACCCATCTAGAAATTCACCTCTACTTTCATGTTTATGTTTAATAATCTTCCTTTCCTGCTTTATTTTTTCTCTTTAGCACCTAACATCTTAGCATTAAATTAGTACTATCATTTAACTTCATACTTTACATTGTTTCTCTATCTTGCCATATTTTGAGTAACAGGGGATTTTTATTTTTTTCTTCACCACTGTATTTTAGTACCCGTAAATATGCCGTAGATACAGTAAATGTTCAATACAGGAATGTCTCTATTTTGGCACAAGGACAAAAGCTGAAGTACATTTTCTTTTTCTTTTTTTAAGATTTATTTATTTATGTAGACAAGAACTGGAGTATAGGCCAGTGGTGTGGGGAGTGGAATATGTACCAGAAACAGTAGGGAGCAGAACAGATAGATCGACTGAAAAAACACTTCTGGGGGAGCAGTGGGCAGGTCAAAGGAGGTCTGCACACTCTGTGGGTCACACCCCTGGCTGGGAATCGAACTTGTGCTGCAGTGGCTTGGGATAGCTTCATAACGCTGCACTTTACCCTGTTGTGCCACCAGGGAGGACCCTCCTCCTGATCTTTGAAACTCAAGCTAACTAAATCTATCAGGTACTATGCCTCATTATGCAGCACCTCTCTATGTAACATCTGCCCATAGTAGCAGAGGGAAGAGAGTACATATGGAAGAAATGGTTCAGACCATTTCTTTCAGTTCCTTTCAAGCACCCATCTGTAGGAGAGGCACCATATCCTGTTGTCTGGAAGGTAAAGAAGTTAATGTAGATGTTTGATGGAATTTTTCCCCTCTCATTCAAACATATCCTAATTAAAAACAAAACTACTGGAAAGGGATCTGTCTGTTCCCATCAACCTTTATTCCAAAATCTCTACCACACAATTTTCAAAAGCCAAGTAAAGCAAGAAAAAATCAGCCTCTCATTCACTTGCTCCATTTCATTAAACTAGCTTTTCTCTTTTGTGTTTATGTACTTGTTATGTTATTCTTTATAAAGGCACAGTAATTCTGGGAGTCACAAGTGTCAATTTTTTTCACTTATTCATGTTTGCCACAGAAATCATTGCTATGGATGTGTAAGAATGTTGCAATACTCTGATTAAAAATTTTGCCAAGGAAAACTGTGTGCATAAGCTACAGCTTATTTGAAATAGAAGACTTAGTAGTGAACTTACTTACCCGGTATAAATCATTGTTGGTCAGGGAAAAGGGCAAGTTAGATACATACACTGTACTTTTGCTTGGGGCCAGTCCACCACTCATTTCTAAAAAGGAAAGAAAACCCAGATGCAATCTAAATCCGATATTCTTCATTTAAACCAATACGCTGACTGAATTATGCTGAATTTATGGATCTTCCTTACTCAATAGGGATAGTTAGGAAGAATCACTCCAGCTGGGTGAATGAAGAAATTCCTTTTCCCTAACACTACTTGAAAGACTTCTGATCCTTCTTTCAAGCAGATTTTTTTAGACCAATACTTTCAGTGCTAGGCTATGCTGTGAATAAAGAGCTGAGTTTTAAACAGATGAAGGAAAACTCTAAGGCTATTCTTAAATTCTTAGGCAAAGAGCAATAAAATATTCACTATCTACCCACATCAGAAATAATCTCACCACTTCTAATAATACTATTGAACCTTTTTGGTTGTCTTAATAATTTTTTTGGGGTGATGCTAAGAGGAAATTTTAGTTTCACACTTTGAAGATAATACTTTCCTTCTAATCACTAATTTTGCATATTACTGATAAATTTGAAAAAAAAATTTTATATGCATAGGTTTCAGTGTCTTGAAAGATACTAATCTATTCCACATTAATTTATACATCGTTTATTCTTAGCTTCTTTGTATAAAACTTGCTAAATTTAAATGAACAGTGGTCAAATATTTTAAGATTAAAAATTACTACATAACATGCCATATTTAACATGCCATATTTATATGTCCAAGGCACTGAGACCTTGTACACCAACCAATCTAGTAGTTCTATTACAGGAAATGAACGTTAGACCTTACTTTAATCTTCAAAAGAATTTCTCATCTTTTTGGCCTGAACCTCAGAGTAAACTTCATATAAAACTTTGATTTTAAACAGTTTGGATTACTTTTCAAGTGAAACGAACTTTTTTAAGAAGAGACTTAAAAAAAAATTAGCTCACCTTGCTTTACAATACTATCTATATAGAAGCTTAGGGAGTTCAGCTCCAAATCTGTGCCTCACTGTACTCACCCCCAAAGTTCTAGCGTCACTTACATTATTAAATACAAGTCCTCTACCCAATCCTTCCATCTCCCTCGCCCCGTCCTCTCCAGTAACCACCATATATTTTTATTTGTTTACAAATATAATCTCTAGTCTTTAAATTTTCCTGCCGTACTTTACAAAGTCAGCCAAAATATCCGTCAATTTACATCGGACTCCACCTGGAGTCCACACTTCATTAAAACAGAAAAGTAAAAAAAATGTGTGGTCACTGCGATGAAGATACAGGGTCTGTCAAATAACAAAATATTGATCGTAAAGCGCGCCAATTCGCGAAATCCCGAGAAGCTGCTTGATACTTGGGATGTACGGGACTTTTTGTTTTTACTTAGGCAATTTAAAGAATTCTGCATAGGTCGCTGTTTACAAGTTTCTCACTCGAAACGACTTGCACAGGAGCCGTCCAGGAGAGAAACGTGAGCGCAGGGCCAGTCGCTAGATGGGGGGAGGGAGGCAGCGAGTCACGGCGGGAACCGGCGGGAACGTCGGGTTCGGGGAAGCTTTTACCTTCAGCTTCGGTGGCCCGGGAGACCGTGAGGGAGCGAACGCTCGGCTCCGAGGGTCTCAGGCCGGGCTTCTCGCCCCCTGCCACGGCCCGGGCATCACGGGTCCCAAGAGGGGTCAGGCGCTGCGGAACAGATCCGCCCAGGGCAGCATCTCTTCCTGGCTCCGGCAAGACGCTGGCCGAGAAGGCGGGCCCGGGGGCGGGCACGCCGCTGATGTCACTGTGCGCGCCGGAAGTGCCTGCCGGGAGCGCGGCGACGAGCCGACGATTACCTTTACGGGGACTCCCTGCGGCCCAGAGTCGGTGAGCGCTTTTTACCTTCCCGAGAGGTGGCCTGGGACGAGCGCGCGGGCTGCCGTACCGGGGGTAGCGGGGAGAGCGCGCGAGGGCTGAGAATTCCGTGGCGGAACCTGGAGTCTCCCGCTACATTTGAATCGAGCAGCAGCAGTTCTGTCCCTGCCGTGGAGGCTAGAGAGACGCAGTGGAGTTTGGAATAAAGGGAAGCGTTGAGGCTGAGGTGTAGGCTCGCTGCTCCTGAGCGTAATATACAAAAGGTCACTTGAGTGACCCAAGATCCGTTGGGAAGTCGGTGAATTTACTGAATGTGTTCGACGTCCACTTCGATTCAGGCACTTTGCGAGCAAAAAAAAAAGTAAAACGGGCCTTTTTCTGACGGGTATCTCAGTCTAGTTGGGGATACGAGGCTAACTGAGGGGAGTTGAAGTAACAAAACGGGCTCATCTTGAATATTGGAATGACAAATATTGAGACTTCGTGGCGCTTCTTTCTGTAAATTCCTAACGGGCACACACTCCTTTTCCTCGTAAGACGCTGTAAACAGGCCCATCATCCCCAAAGAAAAGCCCTGCACTGTAGTTTATCCTTAGTCTACCCACCCGCACCTCCAGACAAGGCCTCTACCCACTCCCCGGGAGCCTGCGTGCCAGCAGTCTGGGACCCAGAACCTCTCCCGGAGCTTTCACATTGAATCCAGATCGAAGCCGATGCCTAGCTAGTCCGTTGTGCACTCCAGCCAGGGGGCAGCCGAATTTTGAGAGGCTTGATAGCCTCTGCGCGCGCCTGGGTTCCGCTGGGACTTACTCTCTTGACAAACTAATGGCCAGCCAATCACTGGGTTACCCCCCAGCGTGTAAGCCTTTTGGTCTTTTATGCTCCACCCGTTTCTTGCTGCGTGGTGCTTCCCTAGGCTATCATTGCTTCTTTCTTACTATACGTTCATATTTTGCTCCCCCATTAGCCTTTCAGCACTGCAACTTAGAGCTTCTAATTCCCAGCTTACCAAAATCTTTTACATATTCAAGCTCCGAACTAGGGAAATTCTTTTTTGCTGTCCTGACTCCAGCTAACCACGTGGCTTTCCTCTTCTCCCGTTTAATTGAACCCATTCTCTAACATCTTAAGTTGGATGGAGGCACTGTGTTTACTGAACTCGACTTCCCTGCCTGAACATCAGTACTTTTTTTCTCCCCACAGGGGTTTTGCAAAGGTTCTCTTTGCCGATTTTGATTACCCTAACCCCTCCCTATCTCATTGTGGAGAATTCCTAATCTTGCTGGAACATCTCAGTCTAGAGGTCATTGTGTTTGAGGGTATTCCCTAATTTGACCTCAGCAGTTAGGTGCCCTTGCAATATGCTAAATAAAATGTACTTACTACTCGTGCCCCCTCCTACTCCGGAAGTGGGGAAGGGAATGAATTTGTTTAGTTTTCTTATTTGTACCTCCAGTGCCTGGTGAATGTCAGTTATTTCTTGCTGCGGTTCCCCGCCAAGAAGTGGGGCAGTTGACCTGTCATCTCCTGACTTTAAAAAGTATAGGAACCTCTGAAAGGTCTCAGCTGATTCTGGCATTGTCAGAGTGTGACAGTATTAGTGTCTTTAAGAAAAGTTGGAAATACATTTTTTAAAAAGTGATACTTACTGTTTTCAAATATTGTCAGTGGGGAATAAAAGTTTATTGTAAAAGATCACCAGCTAGCCACAAGTCATTTGTGGTCACAGTTGAGAACTTATTTCAAATCATATAGGCTTCAGAAATAGGCTTTGTGGAGAATACTAGATTTTGAGCTGGTCCTTCATTGTTGATTTGACCTTGAAGGAGAGAATGTAAAGAAGTATATCCAGTTTGGAAAATAAGCCAACAACCCAGCATGGTTTTTACTACTCTGGCTTAGTGAGCAGTCTGACATGAATGACCCTGTTGGAGAGAACAGGACTGTAGGTGATACGGTAAAAGGAAGCATATGCAGAGAGCAAAGAAATTTCAGTTTTTATAGATACTAAGAAACTATTTGGAGTTTTGATTAGAGACACTCAGTGATGAGTGGTAAAGTGTTGGGTAAAAGACTGGAAGGAATCCTGCCAGTAAAGGTGGTAACCTCCATGCATGCATTTAAATAAGATAGAAAATTTATAGATGCTACATGTAGGCAAACAACTGATATTTTTATTTATTGGTATAATTTCAGTTTTTTGATGGCTTACAATGGACAGTCAAGAATCTCCTAAATAATGTGGGTTTTTAAGTAGTGAAAATCAAGTGTGAAACTGATAGAGAAGTCTAGGAAAATTCACTATGACTATGCTCTCAGTAGGAACTCTCCATTGATAAGGTTGCTTAAGCAACCTTATCTTACTTGTTCATTCCTTGTTCCCTGAGCTCACCACTTATGTGATTCCCTCACTTCCTATACCGTAAGCCCATTACTCATCTGACTCATCCCCTGCTCCATAAGCCCACCGCCAACTCTGCTTTGACTGTCAAGTATGCTGAATTGTGAAAAGGTATAAGGAGCTTGTTCCCTTACATTTAGGGCCCAGTAACTTGGAGATTACTCTCCAGGGCCCACTGGTGTTAATAAAGTCCTCTGATCTAAGTTTTTGAGTTCTATTTGGTTCTTCCTCAGGTAAGGGCTGACACTATAACAAAACTACTAGTATAGAATATGGTATTTTAGCAGTACTGTTATATAGTTTATTGTGGAAGCAATCATTGTTCTTTCCTTTAGTTACTCTCTTTCATTCTGTTTTGTATACTTCCAGATTAATCTGCTGGAATGCTATTTTTCCTCCTTGTGTTAGTTCTAGGCTTAAAAACCTGCACTGAGCTCTACTAGTATATTTGCTTCGTTGTACCATTCAATGCCTTCATTTTGCCAGTTTCTTTTTTGAAGTAATATGAGATGACAGAAGGGCTTCAGCTTTAAAGTCATTCAGGCTTGAGTGTGATTCCCTCCTTGTTTGGCTACAATATTTTTTGATATTATGATTATACAAAAAAGGGAGGTCATAACATAAGTTAGCAGTGGAAATTCTGATTTTTCAGAGCTTTTCCCAAGCTACCCGGAATCTGTCAGACGATAGCCGTTGCATAGCTTGTGTCAACCTCACCCTGAGTCAGAGCACTATGGCTTATTTTTAAAAAAGATTTATTCACATTTATGCATACAAGAACTAAGGTACTGGCCAGATATGTGAGGGTTAGTGGTGATGAAAGGATTTACCAGAGACAGTGGGGAGCAGAACAAGCAGATAGACTAAAATACACTGTTGAGGGTATGATCAGTGGGTGAGACAGGAGAGTCTGCAGTGCCATGTGGGTCACCTCCCTGGCCGGGGATGGAACTTGTGCTGCAGTGGCTGTAGATCTCTTCATAGTGCCATCACCATAGTAACGTGTGCTCTTCCTGCCCCAGTTTTGATCCTGTTTCCCTCTCCTCACCCATAGAGGTTTATGTTTGTTGATTTTAGTTTTATTACATATATATATGTAAAGTATATCCCTTACACTCCTGCCATCACTGAAACCATCCAGTATTTTTCTTTTTCTTTCTGGCTTATTTCACTAAGCATGATCCCTTCCAGCTCCATCCATGTTCCCACAAATGATGTGAATTTATCTTTTCTGATTGCTGAGTAATATTCCATTGTGCATAGATGATCTAATCATCTATTTTTGGGCATTTGGGTTGATTTCACATCTTCCCTATTGTAAATAGGGAAGCAGTAAACATAGATGGAGGCATCCTTTTGAATTAATGTTTTTGTATCCTATGGGTAGATACCTAGGAGTGGAATTGCTGGGTCATGTGGAAGCTCCATTTTTAGCAGTTTGAGAAACCTCCAATCAGCTTTCTATAGTTGTTGGACCAGTTTGTATTCCCACCAGCAGTGTAGGAGAATTCCTTTTTCTCCACATCCTCACCAACATTTGGTGTTGCTGTTTTTTTTTTTTTTCAGTATGTGCCATTCTCACTGGTATGAGATGGTATCTCATTGTGGTTTTATTACATTTCCCTTATTACAAGTGACGTTGAATACTTTTTTATATGCTGTTGGCTGTCTGCATTTCCTCTTTTTAAAGGTGTCTTTTTAGCTCTTATGCCCATTTTTTGATGGAGTTGTTAACTTTATTTTTGTTGAGTATCGTCAACTCTTTGTTACCTTTGTGATCAGTTCTTCAGCATTAGTACTGTGTGCAAATATTTTCTCAATCAGTGGGGTGTCTCTTTATTTTGTCTAATGTCTCTTTTGCTATACAGATTGATTGTATATAGGAAGGCTACTGATATTTGTCTTTTATTTGATGTAGTATCAGCTGTTTATCCTTTCCTTCACTATCTTTGCTTTGGGTGATGTATCTTTAAAGATGTTACTGAGGTGTATGTCATGTAGTGTTTTGCCAACATTTTCTTCTATATATTTTAGGTTTCAGGTCTTTTGTCTAGTTTTTTAATCTATTGTGAGCTGGTTTTTATGTATGGTGTGAGGTAGTTGTTGGGAGTGACCAAATACGGAGATTTACTGAGGGGCCGGATAAGGGCAGTAATAAATCCAGCCTTGCATCCAAAGGTGATAGAGCGGTAATAAATTGTGGGCCTTGCATCCAATTAACAGGGTCTTGCATCGGCAATGGGACTAGATGAAGGTGATAACGAACTGGGCCTTACATCAAGGGACATAGCGATTAATCACCTCTTTGGAATTCAAGTTTTAAACCTATATAAGAGACCCTTCCCCCCATCGGGGTGGCAGTAGCTGCGGACCCTACTCTTGGGCTCTGTCTCAGCTGCTGTCCGAGAGCAATAAACTGCTCAGCCTCTCTGCCTTTCATCTTTCTTTCCTGCGGCCGGTCACAGAAATTGGGGCAAAACAGTAGTAATCTGGCTTCGTTTTTTTTGCATGTAGCAGGCCAGTTTTCCTTGCACCATTTGTTGAACAGACTTTATTCCACTGCATATTCTTTTACTCCTGTGTCCTTATCAAAGACTAGTTGTCCTTATGA